ACTGTGTAGGTTAGGTAACAGTTAGTTATACTGGGTGGCTTTATATTATTAAAGGGACACTCCAGGCTCCCACACACATTAGATGCACTGTGTAGGTTAGGTTACAGTTAGTTATACTGGGTGGGTTTATATTATTAAAGGGACACTCCAGGCTCCCACACACTTTAGATGCACTGTGTAGGTTAGGTTACTGTTAGTTATACTGGGTGGGTTTATATTATTAAAGGGACACTCCAGGCTCCCACACACGTTAGATGCACTGTGTAGGTTAGGTTACAGTTAGTTATACTGGGTGGGTCTATATTATTAAAGGGACACTCCAGGCTCCCACACACGTTAGGTGCACTGTGTAGGTTAGGTTACAGTTAGTTATACTGGGTGGGTTTATATTATTAAAGGGACACTCCATGCTCCCACACACGTTAGATGCACTGTGTAGGTTAGGTTACAGTTAGTTATACTGGGTGGGTTTATATTAATAAAGGGACACTCCAGGCTCCCACACATTTTAGGTGCACTGTGTAGGTTAGGTTACAGTTATACTGGGTGGGTTTATATTAATAAAGGGACACTCCAGGCTCCTACACACGTTAGATGCACTGTGTAGGTTAGGTTACAGTTAGTTATACTGGGTGGGTTTATATTATTAAAGGGACACTCCAGGCTCCCACACACGTTAGATGCACTGTGTAGGTTAGGTTACAGTTAGTTATATTGGGTGGGTTTATATTATTAAAGGGACACTCCAGGCTCCCACACACGTTAGATGCACTGTGTAGGTTAGGTTACAGTTAGTTATACTGGGTGGGTTTATATTATTAAAGGGACACTCCAGGCTCCCACACACGTTAGATGCACTGTGTAGGTTAGGTTACAGTTAGTTATACTGGGTGGGTTTATATTATTAAAGGGACACTCCAGGCTCCCACACACGTTAGATGCACTGTGTAGGTTAGGTTACAGTTAGTTATACTGGGTGGGTTTATATTATTACAGGGACACTCCAGGCTCCCACACACGTTAGATGCACTGTGTAGGTTAGGTTACAGTTAGTTATACTGGGTGGGTTTATATTATTAAAGGGACACTCCAGGCTCCCACACACATTAGATGCACTGTGTAGGATAGGTTACAGTTAGTTATACTGGGTGGGTTTATATTATTAAAGGAACACTCCAGGCTCCCACACACGTTAGATGCACTGTGTAGGTTAGGTTACAGTTAGTTATACTGGGTGGGTTTATATTATTAAAGGGACACTCCAGGCTCCCACACACGTTAGATGCACTGTGTAGGATAGGTTACAGTTAGTTATACTGGGTGGGTTTATATTATTAAAGGAACACTCCAGGCTCCCACACACGTTAGATGCACTGTGTAGGTTAGGTTACAGTTATACTGGGTGGGTTTATATTATTATAGGAACTCTCCAGGCTCCCACACACGTTAGGCAGATAGCTGGGTTCTGAGTGCATACTTCGTGAAAGTACCGCTCAGATCCCAGTACAATTAGCCGAATGCCGCACAAAATATACTTAAACATACATTTTTCCAAAAAAGGCACGAATAGACCAGCTGGGATAAAATACCGAAAGACCAGTGCTCCCGAACGGCCTGGAAGTCCAGCGGTATTCGTGCCGTTGAGTAGCCGATTTTAGTTCCAGGCACTCGACGGCAAGATACCGCTGGGCTAACAAAGGATCCAAGATGGCCGACCGCCTCGTGGTCGGTAACCGAACGGCGGCCTCCCTGAACATCCATTAACTACCGAAAGATACAATGTTGCGATACTTAATGGGAGCCACACGACCTCCTGTGTGTGGTCTCCCATTCGGTAGTTTGTTCGTTTCACGAACAGTGTTGAAATTCACTGTTCGTGTAACTACTGTATGAATGCTGGTGGCTTTCATGTCGCCAGCATACGAATGCTCTCGTTTGCATCACATACAGACAAGTGAATATACTCAGTTCAGATAGCCTTAAAGCTACAACATCACATTAATGGAAATACAGTCTTAAGTGGCTAGTTTTGCCACACCCCTGTACCCCAGTAATGGGTTATTTCATATAACCCCCTGTACCCCAGTAATGGGTTATTTAATATAACCCCTGTACCCCAGTAATGGGTTTTTTAATATAACCCCCTGTACCCCAGTATATTATTCCCTGTACCCCAGTAATGGGTTATTTAATATAACCCCCTGTACCCCAGTAGTGTATTACCCCCTGTACACCAGTATTTATTAACCTCTTTACCCCAGTAATGGGTTATCCTCTGTACCCCAGTATTGGATTATTTAATATAGTCCCTGTACCTCAGTAATGTATTACCCTGTGTACCCCAGTAATGGGTTATTTAATATAACCCCCCTGTACCCCAGTATTGTATTACCCCCTGTACCCCAGTAATGTATTACCCCCTGCACCACAGTAATGGGTTATCCCCTGTACCCAGTAATGGGTTATCCACTGTACCCCAGTAATGGGTTATTTAATATAACCACCTGTACCCCAGTATTGTATTACCCCATGTATACCAGTAATGTATTATCCCCTGTACCCCAGTAATGTATTACCCCCTGTACCCCAGTAATGGGTTATCCCCTGTACCCAGTAATGGGTTATTTAATATAACCCCCTGTACCCCAGTAATGGGTTATTTAATATAACCCCCTGTACCCCATTAATGTTTTACCCCCTGTGCCCCAGTAATGGATTATTTAATATAACCCCCTGTACCCCAGTAATGTGTTACCCCTGTACCCCAGTAATGGGTTATCCCTTGTACCCCAGTAATGGCTTATTTAATATAACCCCTTGTACCCCAGTAATGTATTACCCCCTGTACCCCAGTAATGGGTTACCCCCTGTACCCCAGTAATGAGTTACCCCCTGTACCCCAGTAATGTATCCCCCCTATACCCCAGTAATGGGTCACGCCCTGTACCCCAGTAATGTATTACCCCCTGTACCCCAGTAATGGGTTACCCCCTGTACCCCAGTAATGTATCCCTGTACCCCAATGTATCCCCCTGTACTCCCAGTAATGGGTTATCCAATATAACCCCTGTACCCCAGCAATGGGTTACCCCCTGTACCCTGTGCAATGGGTACCCCATGTACCCCAAAATGTGTTACCCCCTGTACCCCAGTAATGGGTTATCCCTTGTACCCCAGCAATGGCTTATTTAATATAACCCCCTGTACCCCAGTAATGGGTTACCCCCTGTACCCCAGTAATGGGTTACCCCCTGTACCCCAGTAATGTATCCCCCCTATATCCCAGTAATGGGTTACGCCCTATACCCCAGTAATGTATTACCCCCTGTACCCCAGTAATGGGTTACCCCCTGTACCCCAGTTATGTATCCCCCCTGTACCCCAGTAATGGGTTATCCAATATAACCCCCTGTACCCCAGTAATGGATTACCCCCTGTACCCCAGTAATGGGTTATTCAATATAACCCCCTGTACCCCAGTAATGGGTTACCCCCTGTACCCCAGTAATGGGTTACCCCCTGTATCCCAGTAATGGGTTATCCAATATAACCCCCTGTACCCCAGTAATGGGTTATCCAATATAACCCCCTGTACCCCAGTAATGGGTTATCCCCTGTACCCCAGTAATGGGTTACCCCCTGTACCCCAGTAATGTGTTACCCCCTGTACCCCAGTAATGGGTTATCCCTTGTACCCAAGTAATGGCTTATTTAATATAACCCCCTGTACCCCAGTAATGTATTTACCCCTGTACTCCCGTGCAATGGGTTGGCCACCCCTGTACCCCAGTAATGTATCCCCCATATCCTGTGCAATGGGTTACCTCATACCCCAGTAATGTACACCCCTGTACCCTGTGCAATGGGTTACCCCTTGTACCCCAGCTATGTATCCCCTGTACCCTGTGCAATGGGTTATCCATCATAACCCCTGTACCCCAGTAATGGATTACCCCCTGTACCCCAGCAATGGGTTATTCAATATAACCCCTGTACCCCAGTAATGGGTTACCCCTGTACCCCAGTAATGGGTTACCCCTCTGCACCCTGTGCAATGGGTTATCCAATATACCCCCTGTACCTGTGCAATGGGTTATCCAATATAACCCCCTGTACCCCAGTAATGGGTTATCCAATATAACCGCCTGTACCCCAGTAATGGGTTACCCCCTGTACCCCAGTAATGTATCCCCCCTGTACCCCAGTAATGGGTCACCCCCTGTACCCCAGTAATGTATCCCCCCTGTACCCCAGTAATGGGTCACCCCCTGTACCCCAGTAAAGTATCCCCCCTGTACCCCAGTAGTGGGTTACTCCCTGTACCCCAGTAATGTGTTACCCCCTGTACCCCAGTAATGTATCCCCCTGTACCCCAGTAGTGGGTTACTCCCTGTACCCCCGTAATGTATCCCC